TAAACATTAGCTTGAATCTGAGCAGAAAATTTTGATAAAATAAACAAAAGTAAGAAGGTTTTAATTAAAAATTAAAATTAAGGGGGGCTTAGTCCGAATCAATCTATGTTTAATCAGAAAAAATAATGAAATTAGAACCTGATTTGAACCTAAACTATGTATTTGTTTTAAACCTGAGTCCTATTGTTAGGTATAAATAGAAAAAATAAAAAGAAAGAAAGAAAGAAATTTTGAGTATGAACGTAGGAACTTGAGCAAACATTTAATTTAAACCGGAGTAAATCTTTTTAAGTTTAGAAACTCAGTAATTTTAGTCCCGATCTAAATCATTTAAATTTGAAGTAATGAAAAACTAGTTTTAACCTGAGCAGAGAGTTTTGATAAAGTGAGCAGAAGTAAAAAAAATAGAAAAAACACTTAAATGTGAACCTGAGTCCGAATCTTGTTTTGAACCACTGTTAAAATAATTGCTTAAAGAAAATAAAAAATTCGATTATGAGAGTATGAACCTGAGCAAGAGGGTTTAAGTCTGAGCGAATTTCTTATTTGATCAAGAAAAAATTGTAGAGTGCAGGTCCGGATTAAGAAAGATGTCTAATTGTGTTTGTTAATTTAGATCGGATGTACACCGCGCCCCTTTCCCTTGCAACCCCTTCCATTTCGCCATCGCCAACTATACTTATTGACATTTCAGTAATTAATTAATCAATATTTCTTCTGATGGAAAGCACTTCTATTTTCCGGCTGCATCTCGTATTAATAATATTTGACAGCTCTTCGAGAATAATAAGACAAAGGCAAATTCAATATACATTTGTAACGTTTGAATAATTCTAGGCTTTGAATAGGGGTTGCGTATCGCAGTGATTTTGTGGAATTTTGGCTTTTACATTAATTTTATATATGAGATCAATAAGAAATATTCAAAGGGGTGGGTTTCAACTTCTCTGATTATCTCAAATGCAAAGCTGAAGTGTTCCTTTCAAAAGGAATACGAATATTTCAAATATATTTCGATATCTGTGTTCGGAATGAGTTTGGGGTTGCGTATCGTTTGGCATTTAATCACCCCCAAAGTCAATCAAAACTCTCACTTTTCCAACCCCTAAAATCGAATCGGGATTTTTCACACGATACGTTACAATATCAAGAAATAAAAATTCACTAACAGGTTTTTTTATCAACTTGGGGTTGGAATCACGCACCGACAACTCGTCTCGAACTCAGTTTAACGTGAAGTAAAGGGGTGGCGCGACAAGGATGATATAAAAGGGTTAGCAATAGTAAAATAAGGGAGACAGACCCCCAGTATCACTAATTAGTTATCAAAGAGTTTGGCTAGTGACAAAATTCTGCCTCGCGATGAGGGTAGCTACCCCAGAGAAAGAGAAATTCGCTTCATCATTAACAATCTTGCCATATATTGTTTCAAATCTTCTCTCTCTTTTCTGATTTTTTATGCACACCCCTGCGCGAGTATATTTAAAAATATTACAACGTGGATTTATATCGTGACGTGGAAACCATAAATTCTGATCAAAAATTCAAACAATACGACCGTTAAGAAGCCTGTTTTGTCTTTGTTATAAGGGTGGCTTTCGCTAACGGCACCCCTAACTTACTCATATATGGGTAGATTTATATCGTTCGCTTATTTTGCATATTGACCGCGCATAAGGGTATCTGATTTCAATCGAACCCTACACGAGTTGGAGGATTTTTTGTGACCTTAACAACACCAACTAAATATTTCTCAAATACATATTTCGATTTAAATAAAGGGCAAGGCGATGGATTGATGAACAGTTCGCAACTTTTCTAGGTTAATTTGAATTTTATTGATTTTGCGGCTTTCTATTTATTTTGTAAATTCGTTTGTCGGAACGCAGACTACAATGCAAGACATTTAGTTTTTCATGATTTAATCACACACTAAAATTATGTTTTTCTACTCGTTTATTACATTATGATTCATCTTCTGACTAAGTGAATGCATGCAAGAATAAATTATTTGAATTCTGTCCTAAATAACTGATTTTGAGATTAAAAATCGAATAAATTATTTGAGTTTATGTTAAGCTCGGGTTTTCAACTGAATGCATGACTCAGTTCACGCTCTAAAAGTGTTTATTTACGAGTATGATTTCAAAGTTACCACTTGAAACTAGTTTTTTTCTGAGTAAACATTAAGTTTATAAACTACATACTTTGAATCTGAGCAGTGGGTTTTGATTTTAACATGAGCAAGCAATAATTTAAACTGAGTCTTAATCAGAAACACTTTGACCTTACTTAGTAAATAAATAGATAGAACCTGAGCAAATAACAATTTAAAATTAACGTAATAATGAGAATTTTTTGTTTTGAACTTGAGTCTGAATGTTGTGGAAGAAAGCGTGAACTTGAGCAAGGTGGTTTAATATAATCCTAAACAAATAATATAATCTTTTGTAATTTAAAAATAAAAGTTAATTTGGTTTGTAATTTAAATAGAATTTTCGAAATTTGAACTTGAGCTAGCGTTTTTTTGAACCTGGACAAATGTAAATAGATTTTATTTTAAGAAAAAAAAAACTTATAAATAATAAGCTAAAACTAACCAATAATTAAGTAATAAACTGGTTTTGAACCTGAGTAAAATAAAATAAAACTGACTTTTTTTAATTTTTTATCTTCAATTTTTATCAATTTTGTTTTGTTGAACTTACGTCTGAATTTTGTGTTTAATCATTGTTAATTTATTTTTATGGAAGAAAGCGTGAACCTGAGTAAGGTGGTTTAATCTAAACAGTAACAAATATAATGTTTTTTGGTTTGTAACCTAAATAAAGTTTTTGAAATTTGAAATTGAGCTCTCGCTTTTATCTGAGTAAATGTCTTTGAACGTGAGCATATCTAAATAGATTTGATCTTGAACCAAATTACTGGAAAATAAAAGCTAAAACTAACCAATAATGAAGGAATAAACTAGTTCTGATCCTGAGTAAATTAAAATAAAGTCATGCAATTTTTAAAGTTTCTTAGTCGAATCACAATTAGTTTATTTTTAAATAAGAAAGCATGAACCTGAGTAAGGTGGTGTAATCTAAACCCGAACAAAGAATATAATGTTTCCTTGGCTGAAAATAAAAGTTACTTTGGTTCGTAATCTAAAAAAAAAATTAAAATTTGAACTTGAACTTTCGGTTTTAACTGAGTATTTTTTTGAACCTGAGCAAATGTAAATAGATTTGATCTTAAGAAAAAAAAGAACTTAACTAGTGGAAAATAATAAGCTAAAAGCAACCAATAATAAAGGAATAAAGGGGTTTTGAACCTGAGTAATATAAAATAAAATTGACTTTTTTAAAATTTTTAACTTTAATTTTTAACAATTTTGTTTTGTTTTGAACTTACGTCTGAATTTTGTGTTTAATCATTGGTAATGTAGTTTTAAGGAAGAAAGCGTGAACCTGAGTCAGGTGGTATAATCTAAACATGAACAAATAATATAATGTTTTGTAGTCTAAAAATAAATGTTAATTTCGTTTGTAACCTAAATAAAGTTTTTGAAATTTAAAATTGTGCCCTCGCTTTTATCTGAGTAAATGTCTTTGAACCTGAGCTTATGTAAATACATTTGATCTTGAACTTAATTACTGGAAAATAATAAATTAAAACTAACCATTAATGAAGGAATAAACTAGTTTTGAGCCTGAGTGAATTAAAATAAAGTCATGCAATTTTTGAAATTTCTGAGTCGAATTTTGTGTTTAATCACTATTAGTTTATTTTTAAGTAAGAAAGCATGAACCTGAGTAAGCTGGTTTAATATAATGTTTCGTTGGCTGAAAATAAAAGTTATTTGGTTCGTAACCTAAAAAAAAATTGAAATTTGAACTTGAACTTTTGAATCTGAGCAAATGTAAATAGATTTGATTATAAAAAGCTAAAACTAACCAATGATGAGGGAATAAAGTGGTTTTGAACCTGAGTAAATTAAACCAAAGCCTTGAACTTTAAAAAAAAAAATTACAATTTCAAGTTTGAACTAATATGAACCTGAATTGTTGTAATTTTGCTAAAAACTCGTGTGGAAAATCGATGTTTCCCAGTTTGTGACAAGGATACAAGAGTGTCCTATCGCCACCTGTTGCTTTATAATTTACCAAAATTCGTCATGAAATATTTGAAACCGCTTTATTTCCGATTGAATCTATAAATATTCACTTTTTAAAAACTTATCAATTAAATAAAATTAATTAAAAAATTTAAATATCGGTTCGAATCTATTAAATCGTTTTGATTAAATTAAAGATAAATGAAAAATGCGGCAATCATCCGAAAAAAGAAGCAATTAAACGTGGAAAAATCTAAAATCGTGAACCCAACAACTGCTCGGAATGCTCACAATCTCGAACATTAGGATGTTTAGAATATTCCGGCACATTTCAGTACGAAATGACTGAGTGCGTCTATTACAAATCCAATTAAAGTGACGTTCCTTGATTTGCTTCGAAAAAAAATAATTTCGATTTTTTTCTGTTTAATTACTGCAAACTTTTTGAAAGGCAATCCGCTTTAAGAAACCGATAACTTTATTAGTAATTACATCTTCTAATTAACTAAGTGAGTCCCTCCGCCCCGATATCGACGTCGATTTTGACGCGATCCCTCGAGTCCTTGTTTGTGTTTCTTTTTTCCCGCACTTTGGATGACTCTAATGGCAAAAGGATTCGACTTAATCAAAATCTTGAATAATTTTCGAACCGTGACAAATAATCGAGTGGAATTTATATTGAAATATTCCCAGTATTACTTCATTAATTGCAACTTGAGATAGTTTATTATTAGATTTTCTGATTCCGACGTTCCGCTCTAATCGAATTAACGATCGTTTCAAATCGGATGTGAATTTCTTCTTCCGATATCGAGACGCTTCCGCCAGATGTGGCGGTGACATGTGTTTTGCATTTTTTTTTCAAATTCTTGAAACGAGATTAACGAATTTTCTCTTCCAGAGGGCCACACTCGCGGAGAAAGAAGTCACCACGCTGAAGGAGCAAATCGCCAACAATACAACGAATAACTGTGAAAACAAGGAAGGAAGCAATATGGACAGACAGACTTTCGAAAATGAAATTGCTGCCAAAGATAAAGAAGTGAGTAAAAAAATGAAATCTCGACACTTTTTTGACTAATCCCACAGGTGTGTGGCCAAAAATTGARGAAATTGGCAACCTTGTTGTTATTATTGTCCATTTTTAAAATCCTCGGAATCTCAATGTCGATGTCGCTCCCAAAATAATGGAAAAATCGTTACTTTCCTGCGATCCTCGATCTATTTTTTTTTCTCAAATCCAGACAGAAATCCGAAATTCCCCCGAGTCATCATCGATGCTCCGAACACCCGATATTAAGTACCGAAATGAGGATCATTAAGTTCTATTAATAAAGCAAAGAAAGTAAAAAGTTCGTGCTCAGATTTAAACAAATATTA